TTGTTTGTTTGTTTGTTTGTTTGTTTGTTTGTTTGTTTGTTTTTAGGTTCAAAAAAGCATGGGAAGCTGGGTAGGAAGACTTGTAATTAAAAGGTGACTATTTGAACATTGTTTTGTTCCTAGCAAGGTTAATGAAACGGAAGAAACCAAAATAAAATCCTAAACCTTTCAGACACTCATGCCTGGTAGTTCACATTTTCCTTTATTTAAGTGACTTAATGTAAAGTAACCTTCTGGTGGGGCACCAACTTTAAGTTAACTATTTGAACAGTATCTATTGATCATTTCTGCAAGCAAACAGTTAAAAAAAAAAGAACAAGACATCAGGAAATTTGTAAATGGAGTAAGTGGGAAAATGTCATGCTCTGAAAAGCAAATGTGAGCTATGTTAGATCAATGAGTTGTGCTGTTGCATTATCTAACCATGCTCCCATGGTCAGTGGTGAGGTTCGTGGCAGTGAATACTCCACTGTATTCGAATCCTGTAGTGCAAATAGTACCTAAGTACGTGCTTACAGATATTGCAAGTTCCCTGCTGACTACAGGTAGGCTTACTTGTATGTTTTCATCTAAACATGTCTAAATATTCTGCTGAATGGGTGTGAAGTAAAGGTCAATTGTTTCAATATTGTAATGCATTTTTTTAAAAATGCACTAGAGTAGTATGTCTGCAGAACTTATTTTATTTTCCTTCCAAATAATTCTTTCTAGTGTAAATCACTATGTTGTTCCATATGCCTAAACACAATTTCAATTATTGTATTATTTTATACATTGCATTTTCACAACAGATTTGGCAGCATACAAAAGCAATACAGTGAAAACCCATCATTTGATAGTGGTGTTTTCTCAAGCACCACATTTGGCATTCTGTTACAGTATGGCAAATGTAAAACCAATGTGAACAAGCTAAAATACATTCTAGGTTTGGGCTAAACAGAATTCAGTTCCTGTCTGGGCTTCCCAAATGCTGAGTGAGTTTCAGTTCACATATCAGCAGAACAGCTGTACATTTAGGTCTATTATGCATACAATATGTGTTTGCACACAGTAATCTGAAGCAGTAAGTGTAATATGATTATCTTTAAAATGTAGTGATTATGTGCCTGCCATTTCAGAATTTCTGAAGCACTTGGCATCTCTGTTTTGTAGTCTGGTAAAAAAAATACAAGCTTTTGATTTTTTAATTTTTTTTTGTCCAACCCTGAACATGTTGGAAATCATATTTAAAAATTGTGCCTAGTTCTGATTCTTTTTCAGTGTGGAATTAAATTTTATATGTTCATAGAGTTATACCTTTCAGAAAGACTTAGGTCCTTTATAAACCTACTTATAGCCCCTAAAGATGATAGTTTTAAATACAATTTGATTTTCTTCCTATGAATGAAACCTAAATTGGGAATAATATAATAATTACAGCACATTATATACTAGAAACTTACAAGAAATTCTGTGTATGCCTTTTACTTTTGGTAACATTATCTCTCCTTTAAATTAATATTTATTTTTTGTATGGTGCCATTGCATTATGTGATGCTGTCTTATAGCTGAAAAAATGGTATGATTTCAAACAAATAAATAGGTGAATGTCCAAAATCAAGTCCTCATCGCTTTTAAGAGTAGATAAGTTGCTCTGATTTATTTAGAAATTACAATTGGAATGGTATTCTGTTCCATGCAGGTCCTTTCTGGGGATAAGATTCCAGAAAATATAATCTGGGACTGCATGAAATTTTTTTTTCTTCATAGATTTTGGAAGTTTGAACATCATCAAGTCAATCTGAAAAAGTCCATAAATCCACCCTAGAGATGTAGAGTGTGCTGAAGGGGTCCTGTGTTGTAATAAAGATAATAACGACACTGAAAGATCAACAGTTTGCTTGCATTTTTTAAACTTCATAAAATTGCCTCTTTTTTACTGTAAAGGACCAATTAAGTCATGCATGTAGTTGTATTCTTGTGATATCAAATGTAAAGATTACATTGTGTTTAAATGAAAATAACAGGCACACATTCAAAAAGAAGATGAAGAAATGTAAATATATTTGATTAATAAAACATTTCTATTACTGTACCCTGAGCCTTTGTCTTGTGTTAATATTACTTATGGAATTTTGTCTGTGGTCTGCAGAAAATCAAATATGCTTGAATGATCATGCATTGGAGGTAGCCTCAAACAATCATCATGCCTTGCTGTAGTTGTCATTATCAGCTTCCAAAAGGTGTTTGCAGCTTGGAAGTTGCCAACTCTTGCAGTCAGAAGAGAGTGAGATCAAGTTTAGGTTTTCTGGTCACTGAGTCTTAACAACTCCCACTGATACTGAGGAAACGCTTCTGTTCTGCTCAAGCAATTTCTTAAAGGTATTTTGTAATACTTTTTATAAGTTATGATGTAAATCATGCCATATTATAACGAAGTTTCTTCTATTCTGCCCACTCAAGTGCCAGGGATTTTGTGGTTGATGGCTTGAGTAATTTTTAGTTACCTGAATCCTGATTAAAAGGATCACCATCTAGTGGACTAAGACAGAATTTCAAAATTCCAGCTGATGTGGACTCATTCTTCAGAAGTCACTTTAAAACCATAGCTAAAAGCAGTAACCATGCTCCACTGCAAAGAACCTTTAGTGCCTTTTTCAGCATTATTTCACTGCCATTGTGTGTGTCAAACAGCAGCAATTAGTTTACTAAGTTACCCCTTGTTCCACTTGAAAAAATATCACTTAAGTATGCGAAAAGTATGTCAGTTTCTGTCATTTTTCATATTATATGACCTTTTACATAAGCACAAGAACACCATGGTAGAACAATTGTGCAAAACTACTGTATTTGAGAAAATACTCAGGTAAATCGGCCAGCAGACTGCCTGCTGATTTACAACCAACAGGGATAGTCAATCATTCAAGGCAAGTTTCTGCACATATGAGGAAAGTTCTTTCTAACAAGAATTGTATTGAGTCATGCTATATGAGATTATATCACCAAGCCCACATAATCTGTCATGAGCTAATAAGACCCAAATGTCTAAAGGGGTGGCGGGTAAAGGAGTCCTTTGGCTGATGGCCCAGTCTATGATATAGAAAAGTCCTGGGGTCCACCACCTTGAAACTCTTCGGTGCATGATTTAGAAGGGGTGAGACTCAGGTCTGCTAATGTTTTTCTTTTAACTTGTCTGCTGAACTTTTTTAGTGGCACTGAGGACCAGCAGCATGCTGCTTTCTTTACTTTGTCTCTAATTGTGTTCACTGAGATCTGAGGAAGAATCAATCCAATAGTAAAGTGCAAAAGACCAGGAAAGCTAGATAGCATCAGTTTTTAATGTTTGGTTTTTCACGGTTTTTTTGTCCAAATAAAGTGGACACTTGCTCCCAAACTAGTAGACAAGACATCAGCAGCATCCAAGTCACTGCACACACTGATTAGGTTGCCTCCTCGGCACCAAAAAGCCTCTGCCAGTTAAAACAAGTCTGACGACTTAACACCACAAAACTAAGCTACACTTGACCTGAAGACACATAGATGTTGAAGCTGCACTCTGACCTTCATGTACCTCCAGCATCAATTTCCCCATCCTCAGACTTACTTCTTTTCATACTTGCTAAAAGACAATCAGCAAAACATTTTTAGAGCAAGCTTGTCCAACCTCATATTCTGTGGTTGCAGGGGATCTGACAGCATTTTGGACTAACCAATATAATGCAGTGTGCTTAACATGCCCAGATGTCTGGTGAAAATAGACCCCAAATACTGCACAACAATAATTAGGTCCCTAAAAATTAGACATGCTACAAGCCAGTGCATCAGATGGGGGTTTTATTTTACTTGTCAGTATTTCCTGATGGCAGCCCTGAGGACAATCCCCTGACCAGCTAGTCAGGGGACAACCACAGGTAGCTGCTTTGCTCTAAATCTGCATCACTTACATAGGCATGACACAATGACCACAGATATCTGAACATAGCCACAGGTGATTTCCTATTCATGTAAGTAAGGACATCAGAAAACTAATGGTGTAGAAGACCTAGATTACCAAATACGGTTGTAACTGGACCAAAGACATAGGAAGGGAAGAGGAACATACATTCTATCACGAAAGGAATCAAAATCTTCACACTCAATATGTCCTGTCTTTGAAGAAGGCATTGACAAACCTTAGTGTTTGGGTTTTTTAAACTAGTTTTATTACAGATAACATAATTTTAGAGACACGAGCTGTCTTGGAAAAGGATATTAGTAAAGCCTGGGCCATCCATTATAGCTGTAGCTCTATCACTATCTTTCTCCCCAATGTTGTCTTCTCCACCAACCACAGCAGATGAATTTTACCAATACTTCTCCATGGATTTAAACTTTTTCCAGTCTTTAGTCTTCTCCCTCTCCCATCTTGCCTGTTATAATTTTCATCTATTATACTTCTATTTTTCTTTTCCCCTCTGACATTACTGCATTCAATCATTCTTCTCATCTCCAGAGTTTCTCCAAATAGGTTTGCAAATGACCAGGGAAGGAACTTGTATTTGTTTATATTGGCACAACAAGTCACAGAAATAATTTTTTTAAAAAAATAATCTTAGCCTCAATAGAATGAGTCAAACTATAATAGTCATGCAGAGTTTTCAACCTGGAATTTATTTTTTTTTTAGGAAGCCAAGAACATTTTAGCCTAAAGCACACACTACAGAAGATCAAATAATTCTTCTGGAAGCTATTTAGCTTTTTTTCTTTTTTTTTTTTTTTTCATTAGCCTTATAACAGGACAATAGTTTTCTGTATTTCCCATAGCATAAAAGTAATTATAGATGTAGTAGATTAAAATTTTCATTAGAAAAAGACGTTCTATCAAGCAAAAAAAGAGTGCAATAAATGCATACACTGAGCCATATTTGCAACGTCTGTATGTTTGTTTGGATCTCTCTTAATTTTCTCTTTGTTTGTTTGAGAGAGAGGAAAAAAGAAGACAGAAGTATCTTCTATAAGTTTTAGGGGAAAAATAATTTAAA